AACTACCCTCCATAAGCCCAAACGGAGACAACTTTCCCTCGTGGAAGCATGCTTTGAGCGACTTAGCAGTAATCAATGGCATGGAAAATGTCCTGGACTCCACGTACACCACACCAGAAGAAAGCAGCCCGCTCTACGCGGCACACAGACGTAACAGCACCATAATGCGCATGGAAATCACCAACTCACTGCCACCAACTCACTGCCACCAACATTCGCAGCGAGCGCCGATCTAGAAATGGACGCACCACTACTCAAAATAGCGCAAACCATCACCAACCACTTCTCAGACACGACAAGCACGGCTCATCTCCTCCTTAAGCAAGAAGCCGAACACACGATCCTCACACACACCATAACGCTGGAGGAGTATATCACAAGGCACCGCGGAATACGCACCAGAATGCGCCTTGCCAACTATCCCACAAGCGAAAACGGCGAGTCAGTCACCATTCAGTTCATCATACAAGGACCGTCAGCCCACCCCAAGTACAGGCACTTACAAGACACCTGGATAGAAACCGGAACTGTTCTGGACAAAATCCATAGCCTCGCACAAAGGCTCCAAGCCGTACACGCGCACACGATGGAGCGGCAAACCCAACCAGGAAACACACCCCACGGCACTCCCCAACCAGCGACCAACACCACACACGCAGAAGCATACAGAAGACGCACCAGAGGCCGCAAACGAGGAAAAGGATGGAACCGATCCCCCTGGATCAACCCTGCATCCACACCCGCACACCACACCTTGCCCGAGCTCTCCTGATACTAGCAAGGCAAACCCAGCACAACCAAAACATTGGCAACGGGTAACACAGCCACCATCACGAATGAACAAGAAGACAACGAGCACCTATACAACGCACAGTCAAGTCCACATTACCTGGATGGCGACGGCGATGGTAGTAAATTCGCACTGGACTCCGGAGCAAATCCAACACACGTCATACGACCAACTACGACCAAGCGACCCCTCACACAAAAAATTCGAACTAACACGGCTATGTCAAGAACCCCTCCTGCGACACACCACGGCACCATACAGATACGGACGAACAAGA